TGGTGTCTGGGCACTGTGGGGGGGGTCCCGTGTTGCTGGGCTGCCTGTGGCGTCCCTGAGCATGCCGGTTGGCTGCCCCTGCTGGCTGTGCAGGGTCGGGGTTGAGGACTAATCGGGGCCAGTCATGGATCTGGCCACGGTGTGGGGGGGGCCCAGTCCTGGCACGCCCTTATTGCTCCCCTGGGCCCAAAACCACATTTCACACGATACTAGGGCTTTGAGGGGTGGTGGGAAGGTGCGCCGAGACACTGCCCCTCAATTTTTGCTTGCATATTAGACACCACATGACACTTGGGCTGAGGAGGTGGGTTGAGGCAGGTGGAGCTCTGCCATCTGCCAGTGGTGGGGCCCTCATACCCGAACTGCACCCACTAATTTTAATGCATTGTAGATATAAACACACATCTCTCTCACACATACACATTGTATACTAACATGGGACGGGGATGCGATGGGGGCTGAGGGCCCCCCCCTAATTCTCTGTCTCTGGCCCTGTGCGGGTGGGTTGCCCACCGTGTCGAAGATCCATCATGGGGGGATGCAGGCAGCCCTGGCCGGTGTGGGCGTCCTCCTCTCTTGGGCCGCAGGCTGGGTGGTGCTTGGCTCTGCTGCGCCGTGGTGGGGCCCTGGCGGGCGGTCCGGGGAATCTTGGGACGCTCTGGGCCCTTCTAGGCGAATTCGGGGGTTGTGTTTGGTACTGCTGCGCCGTGGTGGGGCCCTGGCGGGCGGTCCGGGGAATCTTGGGACGCTCTGGGCCCTTCTAGGCGAATTCGGGGGTTGTGTTTGGGCCGGGTGGGGGGGTCTGCCACTCTTCAGTCCCGGCAGTCTGCTCCCGGGGGGGAGGGCACTTTGTATGTACGGGCCTTCCTTCAATCATCCTGCAGTGTTGGGGGGGGGCTCCCAGTTGATGGGGCCCTTCGGCCCTGGACCTGTTTACCTCGGTGGGGGGATCGCAGGCGGGACTGGGGGGTTCGCTGCCGATCTCCCCTCTGCGGGCCTCCTTGTACGGGGGTTGGAGCCCGCTTAGTTCCTCGCGGGCTCCCTCTTGGGTTGGGCGAGTGGTTGTCTCGGGGGCACGTGGCCGTGGGCCCTTATGCCGTGGGGGCGGCCACGGTTGCCTGGTTCCCCCTGCTTTCGCCTTGGGCCTGGGGGGGGGCACTGTCAACTTGTGATCTAAAAGCAATGAGGCTGCCACCCATAATATCTGCTCTATGGAAATGCACTCCCATAGCCACTAGGGGAGCTCTCACCTTCTTTCAGTCCTGCTAAATTATGTTGCAATTCATTCCACTTGGAAAGTTACACCTTAAATCAAGTCAGTGTAAGTGTGTGACTAAGTAGCCTAAGCAGCATAAAATGAATATAAAGTGCTACATACGAAACGCATATGGGTGTTAGCCACTGCGAACCTGAATTTATTCAGCACGATC